TTGAAATATCATTTTGAGAAGAGGATGAATTGTTTTACCTGGGCAGCTGATGGTCTCATTCTATGAAGTCTTTTCCCAGTAACAGTTTTCTGGGTTGTCCCTTGGGCTGTCCTACGTTTTGAGGATTGATATGTTACAATTGTAGGGACAGCTTGAGTTTTCATCAGCTTCTTCAGTGTGGGTGCGGTTGATCCCATTCTTGAGGATGGACATGGTGGCTGATAATCTATAGGATACCCCTTCCTGTCCAAGCTTGGGGGATTGAATTCAGTGTCCTAAAAAGGGCTATTAGAACAGTTGGTAGGGGAATTCATTGAATAATTTTTTTTCTAAAAAAGGGATGGTAAGTTACCTCACTGTCAGAAGCAAACTCTCCATCTAGAGCAATGCATCTAGGATGGACCGACTCATAGAAAAGATGGGAGTGCCATTCTTGCCACCAGGAGTCAAAAAGGCTGGAAGAGAAGTTGACTCTTGTCCAGTCATGCAAACAAAAGGAAGGAAGACCTGATCCTAGTTGAAAGACTCTGGTGGCTTCCATCACTTCACTGATATCTTCTCTCGGCTTCAGAGTATTCTTAAAGAACAGTTGAGGAGGCAGCTGACCAAAACCAAACTGATGAGCTACAAAAGAAGGGTTGTAAAACTCATAGGTTGGGAGGTTGCCTAGAAGGAAGAAACCTGTAGACATCTTACCATGACCATGACGAAATTTGGCTGGAAGAACGCAAGGTTTGATGAAGGAATTGAAGATGGCAGCTGCCATTTCGTCTGAGCAGCCTGATTCAAAACGAAATTTGAATGGAAAGGCCAACTCATTGTTCTCATCCTCATCATAGGGTAGCCAAGTCAGAATATCTACATCAAACCCTCTGTAAAACTTCTTGAAGAGATGGCCAGCATCGACAGCGATCGTTATGGCTGATGCAGCTTCGCCATAGCTCATGCAGTGATGGGTTCTTCCTTCATCGCCTCTGTATTCTTCATCAAAGTTGGAGGAGGGAAAGCTCAAATTCTGGAGATTTGGCTTTACAATCTTGTGCACATACAAATTTAACCACATTTGTATTAGCCACCAAGGGCCACTGATGGTGTGCACTGGTTCATCCTTCAGTAACTGGATAGCTACCTGGTGCATCAGATGATAAGCAGCTCCTAATAGTTACTTTCCAAGAGGAATATCAGCGCCTAATGCCAGATGCTCTGCCATAAGTTTATGATTGTAAGTCAGACCACAAGATGACCCATAGAAAATGAACCTTTCCAGCCACATGTTCAGAAAAGCAACATATTCTCTTTCGCGAATAGTTGGTCGTTCTCCAATATGATTCAGAATGTAGCTTGCCCATCCTGAGCAGTCTGATATTTTGGCTAATTTCTTGGATCCAGCACTTAAGAAGTCATAAGGCTGCATTAATCCTGTTATTCTAAGGCCGGTCAACATATAAACATTGGTCAAAGTAAAGGTCATTGGGCCATGACCAAAAACAAAAGCATTTAGGGTGTCAGACCAGAAATAAGATGTAGAGATCAGGAGTGAATCATTCCTCTCCATTCCAGACAACAAGAGCGTCAAGCATTGATTCAAATCTTAAATCTCCCAATCTCCAACCTTTTTCTCTGATACCCTACGAAACCAATCTCTCCATCCCCTCAGCATTTTAGGCCAGTTTCTGAAGGGGGTTTTGATGTTCCAGGAGGACAAATCCACTACGGACTGTTTGATGGGAATTCGGTTGGTTTCTTGATGGATAAAGTTAGATGGATTAGGATAACCCATAGGCCCAAGAAAATAGACACTGGAGGCAACAGCCAATGGAATCAAGATTTCGTTCCACATTTCCTAGAAACCAGATAAAAGAAATTTGAAAAGAAAGGAAATGCAGGATAGCAGGTGATACTCGGAGAATAGGAACTTGAAAGCATACCTCAGGGATGTGGTCACTGGTCGCCATTGTAGCCAAGATAGATTTGAATCTGATGAAGATTGCTTGAATGATGGCTTGATAGAACAGGGGATTTGCTAGGGTTGAGGCTTTAGCGATGGCGGCATCGACTGTTGAGATTTGCTCGAGGAAGAAGGGGAAAGCAAATGGGCCGAGTGAGTTGGAGATGACACTATTGAGATATTATATAAAACTCGGGCCGAGAATATTGAGAGTCATGCGTATATCTCGGAATGAACGGTTGCGATGTGGTGAACATGTCAACTGAAATTTTGGAATAAAATCATTTTATCCCAAAATTAGGGGGCATGTGTTTACACCAAAATTTGGGAAGAAGAACATGGGAACTCAAAAGCATCCAAGACTGTGTCATCAAGGAATTGATCGCATAAGGATTGATATCAGTTGATTCAGATATGGCAATAGAATCGGCTCTCATCGGATGACGTCAGTAGATAATGACAATAAGCTACGGTTGGCGTCGGGAAAGACATATCGGACTCTACAAAAAGGAAAAGATTAGGGTTCAAGTTATCCCAAGTTAGGAATGTTCTCTCTTATACCAAAGGTTGTAATGAGTCATACTTGAGTAGGATTCGTGCTTAGGTTCTAGGTATAAATATTGGACCCTGGTTATTGTAAAAGGACATCCAATCAATCAATACAAATTACTTTTTCAGCTCCATGCCAACCCTTAGGAGTAGGAGTAGTGTAGATCTCGGTGAGTTCTTCAACAAGCAGGACTGCATCGGTCCGGCCGACCTCTAGCTTGTCTGTAAGTACCATCATCGCTTATACTTTGGTTTGTATGGCTGCATCGATTAAGTTCGACCTCCACTGTGAGCTCTAGTATAAGCTAGTTATCGATCCTTATCTAGTTCAAGTATGGCTGCATCGGTTAAGTTTGACCTCCACTGCTTGAATTAGATTAAGGTCAAGTTATCGTCTCTACCTAAGGGTGACATCCTTCGGGTAGATTCATTAAGTTACCAATCTTGCTGATGTTCTTATTGTCATTAGTTTTTCAGCAACATCAACCTGCCCGATCAAGATCGAACTAGATTGGCCTCACATCCTTTTAGTCCCTCGTTTATTTTGCCACATTGTGATGATTTTTGTTTTAAACGACGGATTATGTTTCATTGGCTGTCCTACTTTGATCTTGATCGTGCATAGTACACGGTTAAGGCATGTCTAATCTTGAGGAGGCTCACTGGCTGGTTAAATCTAGTCTATAGATCGCTACTATGGTTGTAATGATCCGGTTGATCCCCACTGATGGCACTCTAGATCAGAGGATGCTAGTTAGTAGACTTGCTTTCGGCCAGGCATGACCTTAGCTGTTTGCTATGCCTGCATCGGCTAAATAGCCGGTCGCTTGCAATTTAACGCTCAGTGTGTTTTCATGATCCTGTTAAATATGAGTAGATCTATTTTGTTTAAATATTTAATCTGTTATCTTTATTATGGTTGCCATCGATCCGGTCTAACCCCACTATTAAAGATGATAGGTTAGATTTGAGGAGTTGATAGGTCTATTCGTATCGAATAGTCGATTATTCACATGCCATGATCCTTTTTCTACCCGAATTGACTCTTTTAGCCGATTCGCCTGCGCTTTCATAGATATGACACGCTTTCTTGAACCTATTGAAGTATGGTCGGTTCTTCAGGTTTTCTAGCTCTAGACTATCATCATCATCATAGCTGCATCGATGTAGTTGAACCTCACTATTGACGGTAATGGATTAGATCTGGACGGTTCGTGGGTCTGTCTGTATCAAACAATCGATGGTGAGCGTGGCATATCCCTTTTTTCACTAAATTCATTGGCTCTACACTACGTATTGATCGGATCTGATTTAGCCAATGATGTTAATAGCTTAAGGGAAAGAATCATTAAAACTGGGTATGTCGCAGTCGTCATTATAAAATCAATCACAAACTACGAGTGTTACAGTCCTTAACAACAGATTTTCTTCTCATATTGGCTATTCGATCGATTTTCCCGTCTCGCTGTTAGTCGACCACTCACCAGCGTTGCCGACCACGACTAATGTTGTCTGACCACACACTATGACTAGAGGTAGGACAACGATTGTTCGTGGTCGGCATCACTAGTGTGTGCTCGACAACATCAGTGAGTGGTCGGATATCTCCTTGTTGGAGATCTAGTGGGCTAACACTGGCTGCTCCTGAAGCGGCACACTTGGAACTGTCTGGGCAAGACCGACATGTTCCACCTTAAATTACTGATAAACTTTCTCTTCTTGTCAATTGTAGGTCAAATTGACTGGCACATCCTCGGGAGGAATTCACAGGGTCGACTGGTCCTACGTTGAAGCCAAGCGGATATCCAGCCTTGCTCCATCAAGCAGATCCTTCCGGCTTGCTATGTGCCAGGCGCATTGACACATTTTTGCACCGACAATTACATAGGGGCACTTTCATCTTTAGCCAATTTAAGCTCAGTCATTGATAAAAATAGTAAGAATGATGACGATTATAATTGTTGGAACATTCTCAATGCCCAAAGGATTTATTGCATGCACCTATTTATTTCAATAACTAAAGCACCTTCAACTAACTTTTATAGTTAAATTCAAAGTATTGTGTAGCAAAGTAGCATCACCAAATGGAAGTATAACAAATTTTAAAGGTTTTGTAGATGACAGAGTAGCGCACATGTATCTGGCCGTAGTGCCATACTAAACAAATTTGTTTGTGAAGAAAAGTTACCACAATAGAAGATGATGGAGCTTAGGGGCATGACATATATAGACTGGCTGGCTAAATAAACTATGAAGAAAATGTACAATACTACCGACTATCTACATAGATTGTGAAGCAAATGTGCACACATGAATACATAACATATTAACTTATACAAACCTGCTTCTTGAGCAAAGACCAGGCATCTTCTTCTTCTAGTTTGTCGACATGGTGGTAGGGCACCTCCGCTATCATTCCTCGAGCGACCGTGTCATGTCTCGTTGTTACAAGAACACGACTTCCATGAGCAAATGAGTTTATTAATGGAGGCTCGAGCACCTTCTACCATGCATGGTGGTCCCAAACATCATCCATCACCAATAAGGTCTTGCACCCCTCTACGGCTTCCTTAAGGGTTCGCTCTAGTGTGTCCTTTGTGTTTCTTGGTGCTTGATGGTTTCCTTCTGCTCTAGTGATTGCTCTCTCTAATAGATCAACATCGCTAAATTCTTGATTGACACTCAACCATATTCTCTTTTGAAACTCTTGTTTGATGGAGTCATGATTAAAGATCTTCTTCGCAAGGGTGGTTTTGCCAATCCCTCCTACTCCCACAATAGCATAAACCATAACTTTTTTGTGTTCATGTACATTTTTCTCCTTCTTTGTGAGCAAATCCACAAGATTTCTCGTGTCCTCCTCAATCTTCTCACCAACCACACCTAACTCATCCTCCCCCATCATCTCACGCCTAGTGCGAAGGTAGGATTCTACCTTTTCCATGTCATCATCATAAGATGCAAGGTTGATGAAGTTTAAGGTTTTGCTATGCTTCTCAATGTCAACTAGCCTCTTATTAAGGCTTTTGTTGTGATTACCAATGTCATGAGCATGGAGAGGGTTCCTCATACAAAAGAGCAGTAGATTGAAGCAACCCATATCCCAAGAAGGACCTCGTTCGACCACCTTGAGCTGGCACAAATCAATAATATTGGTGGCATCATACATGGCATTCCGAAGCCCTCTGACCCATGAATGCACACTCTCGTCTCTGATGTTCCTCTTATCAGCATCGGCAAGGAACCTGTTGAGGTCCACAAGCTTGATGCCCATCTTTTTTATCTCATCTGGAATGCCTAAGAGGAGATGCACCTCTTCTTTAACCATCTACAACAGCATGTCTTGCAGGTAAGATGCTAAAGCATCCAATACCACCACCATTGCTAGTTCGGTATCTACAAAATAAAAAATAAATAAAAAGTTCATGTGATTTGTTGAAATGAATGTTAATCTTGATGGTAAAAGCACCTATCAAGACCCCTACAACCTTTGCACTATTATTCAAAAAGGGAACACTGCAGCAGATGGTAGGTACCAGAAGAATCACAAAACAACAATTGAAGCACTAGGTTGGTTACATTTGGTACCAGATTTGGCACATAGTAAAAAGCTAAAAGCATGGAGTTGACAAATTAATGAATATCTGACGTAAATATCATGAAGTCTGATCTATGGACGATGTTGTTGCTATATTATATACTCGAGGCACCTAAAAATTGAAAGCTACTTGTTGGAAAACTAGGTATCCAGCAGGTGGGACACGGTGAAGCCTTCGCCCAACTGGGTGCCCTGGGCAAAGGTATGGAAAGTGAAAGGTGGGCTTAGGCTCAATTAGGGTTTCATAAAAGTATTCACCAACCAACTTACATAGGGTCTAGCTCTCCTTTTATAGGACACTACTTGCTGTTAGTTCATTGTACATCTTTGCCCAATGCTGGCTTGGGTACTTTCCTAGAATATCCTTATACTAGCTCAAATCTTCAGGGGCATTCTAGGTCTTTTCCTCTTGCACCGCCTTTGCCTCTCGGGCCTCCCCAATAGGCCCACAGTTGGCCCATCTCCATCATTGGGCCAAGGTTTTGTAATGACTCCCTTCTTGGGCGGGGGCTGCGTGCCCTTCGCCCAAACTACGTGAGCCTCCGCCCATGGTCCGCAACCTCTACCGAGAAGCCCCTCCAAAGGCCTTCGGAATCCATGCTTGGGCCTCCGCTTCTTTCCTGACCGAAGGCAAAAGCTTCTCTTAGCGTCCCTGTGTTTTGACCTTCGCCACATCGGTGGCCGGATGCAAAGGCTCTTCCTTTTCTACCTACACGTCACCAAAACACGTAAACGACTGTTGTTATGTTTGAGCCTCCGCTACTCATGTATCTATGTCCCAACAGTTCCCCCTTGAGGGAATGATCTGATGTGAGCGGGCCATGACCCTCAACTTACCATTGATTTTGAGTTGCGGAGGCTCCCCCCTTTCCCCCTGGGTCGCTCGGATCAGATCGTTGTGGGTTTGACGTGCTGCTTTTTTATTGGTTGCTGTGGTTCTAGAACCATCGCATTGCTGGACGGATGTGACTGTTTGGCTTGGGAGCTAAAACGTTGGTTCGTGGCCTATATAAGGGAGGGGTAGGTGAAGGCTCCCCTCCATGCCACCTGAGCCATCGCTTTCAATCCTTTCGCCTTCTAGCCCCCTTTCTTCTTCGGCCTCTGCTTAGCTGCGTCTTGCCTTCGCTTCTATTCTGGTTTCCTCTTAGGGATTAAGAGGTGGCTTCTCCTATTAGTCCTCCTCCTTGCCAGGCCGCCATCTTTGGTCCCTACTCTCGCCTCCTTGGTGTTAGGGCTAGCGGTTGGTCTGCACGTTTTGAGGAGTGTATGGTTGCTATTGCAGAGGCTCAAGAGCTTGATGAGGATCTTTCTTGTGCTTAGGCCTCCGTCGGTGATCTTATCACCGCTGAGGAAGCAGAAGATATGGTCAAAGTTGCTAGGGCGTGGGATTTTGGGCCTTCGCTCATGACGAAGGATATAATCAAGGTTCTCAAATAGGAAGGCTATTTTGGAGTGGTTAAGGTAAAGCCTCCAAAGGGTGAGACCATTCCTCGGCCGCAGGCTACTGATGCTGTTGTGTTTCACAACTTCTTCGCATGTGGTCTTCGCTTCACCTCTGCACGGTTCCTTCGCCACATTTTGGAAGCTTTTGAGGTACAGTTACATCATCTTACACCGAATGGCATTCTTACTCTGAGCAAATTTTGCTGGGCTTGTCTGTCTTATGGTGTAGAGCCACATATTGGCACGTTTTGCGAATACTTTGAGCTTCAATGCCAACCTAAGAAGGTTGGTGAAGACCAGCTTGTGGCTCAGTACGGCAGTTGTGCTTTTATGCCTAAGAGGCAGCAAAAGGGCGGGAGACTGGAGATCTTGTTTACTTAGAAGAACAAGTGGAATTAAGACTGGATGCAGTACTGATTTTATGTTAGGACCAGTGGCATGACTTCCACAGATAGCGAAGGAAAAAAGCACACACGCTATCCGCTGGCTTCGGTTATGACTCCTATGAAGCCTTCGACCCAAGGAACACCTGGAGTAGAGATTGTAGAGGGACGCGAAGCTTGTGACAAAGCCTTCACCCTGGCTTGCTGATATTCCAGAGGCCATGACTTGGTGTAGGAGATGGTGGCATCCAAATGCTGGCTGCTTGGCCAAAATAGACCGCCGATGAGGATCGAGATGGTTAGTCTGCCTCTTTTTGGTGATAGGGATGGGGTTCTGTTTCCCCGTTTTGATTTGAAGCGGGCGGAGGATGTGAGCTCTAGTGACTTTGTTGCTAATGTTGAGGAGGAGGCGCGTGAAATCCTCGGTGATATGTTCGACAAGGAATATCTGGCATGAAGGGCTGTTGTGGGTACCATGCCTCGCCTTAATCGTGTTTTTGAGGAGCTTGGGATACATCATGAGGAACACAAGCTTCCTCCAAAGGTGCTTAAATTGCTAGAAGACAAGGCCACAAAAGCTGAAGTAAAGAATGCTACTGCTGCTATGGAGGCTAAGAAGAGGAAGGGCTCTGGCCGAGTAAAGGCCGTTAGTAAAAAAAGAGAGAATTGGGTCTCCTCCTGTTGCCACTTTTTGTCGGTATTAGTGAAGAGGTTTCGGAGAATGTCGGTGGAGGCTCTACTTCTTCACCTTTGAGCACAGGTGGCGAGTAGTCGACATCTTCCGTCAACTTGGGAGGAGATGACTTTGTTGGGGCTACCCTTCATGGTGCAGTGTTGCCGCCGTCGATGAGCCTATTGACGTTGACCCCATACCCAACGCTTCTTGGTGATGACTCATCTAGCTTAGAGGGCGGTGATGGTGTGGGCCAATATGATGTGCCTGCGGATGGTAGTCATCCTACGAAGGCTGCTTTTGTTGAGGAGTCTGAAGATGAGTCTGAGGATAGGCCGCCTGTGGCCCACCCTCGGGATTCGGAGGCTTGATCCGTTCACGACAAGCGAGAGAGGATGTTGATATGGATGCTGCCCAAGGTACTTTATACCTAAGTAAGTATTTTCCTCCCCTTTTTTATATTGCTATCGATCTTGATGTATTTTGGGTGCTTTTCTACCTCAATTTCGCCTTCTTGTGCAATTTACTTTGTTTGTCACAGGATCTGATCAAGGCTATGCAGACTATGGTGGAGGGGAGCTTCCTTTGCCGCCTAGCGTGGACCCTACCTAGGTTGGTCTCGACACTCCAATCAAGGCGCCCTTGCTTATGGGAGAGGGAGAGCCGGTGCTTGATTTGGTCCTTTGGTGGCGAAGGTTCGATTGTTTTCTTTTTCCTCTTTTCTTCAATATTTTGTGTTGCCGTTGTGTTTGTTAACTTTTCCTGTGCTTTCATTTTTGAGAAGTATCTTGACTCCTTTATAAGGAGATAGGAGGTAACTTTTCACCTTTGCTATGGTCGATTTATTGTCTTAAGTTTCTTATGGTTCTTGTTTTTTTTGACTTAGACGCACCAACATTTCAAGAAGGTGAACTTGTTTAACCTTTTGAGGTACAACCTAGAGCAACTATGCCTTTGCCTTACAACCTCTTTGCTTGGATGAAGTCCAATTTCTCCAAGCTTTACGGCTTTGTTGGTGGCGCCAAGATTTTGGGGTGCTTTTTACTGCTACCAATTTCTCTAAGATCCTGATGAAATCTGGGTGCAATCATATTGATAATTTAAAAGAGAGGAAGGAGTTCGAGAGTCCTTTGGAGCTTGGAGAAACTTCTAGGGGCCTGAATAAGATGATGAGGAACTTCATGAGGTATTTTTGGCTAAAGTTTGGTCGGGCTAATGCTTGTTCTCTGGCGGAGGCACGCCGTACTGTGGTTCGTTGATCACTAATCCCTAGTCTCTGTTATTTTTTTATTTTTGCTTTCCTATTTTTGATTTCTCTCCTTTTTTCCTATGTAGGATTTGAAGAAGGTGGAGGCTCATCGTGCTGCTGCTAGGGCGTGGCCTCACAATCTCAGAACACACCTAACGAGGAAGCAACCCCCACCGCTGACAAGGCGGAGCCTGCACAGGCGATGGCTCAAGACGTCCCCTCGACGAACGTTGATGCTCAGAAGTCTACGAAGGCTGCTTCTGCCTCTGCTAATCCGGAGGTGTGGTTTTTAGGCTTTTTGTTACTTCATGTTTTAGGTTTAGTTGAAGGCGATGTTCTGGAAAAACTCGCGCTTTTTGTGTATATTTGTGGATTCTGCTAATTGGTGGGTGCATTCACCAACTTAGTTTTATTCGTTAGTTTGTCCTACACAGGTTTCCTCCTTTGGGCTTGTGCAGGATGTGTTACCTTTAACTATGTATCAGGATGGAATTTAGGTTAGCGGTGAACTATGGGAATACTGGTGACATTGTTTCTTGAGACCTTCTATTTTTGAAATGTTCGCCTTTGTTTCGTATGATATTGATGATGAACGCGCAAAATTTGTTAGATCTCTTGCTTGGCTAGGGCCTCGCCTACCAGTTTAGTTTTAGTCTTTATGCTAAGTTGTTTAGATGGCCTTCGTGCCTTTGTAATGTTTATTTTCAAGGCTTAGCACCTTTTATGTTTTGCCTTGTTATTGCCCTCGGGCTTTTGGAGGACCGTTTGTGTTTGTATGGTTTGCGCTTGTAATGCACTCTGTTATAATATGTTTGTTTTCTTTGAATAAAGTTAGCTTGGAATCCTTGGTTGGATACTTGTTTCATTGAAGAATCTGCTTACAATTGCTACCTATGTCGAAGGGTTCTAGCTGAAGGCGTTTATTTTC